ATAGCGTCAAATTCGATGGAACAATGGTTGTCGTGAGTAAATTGACGGACCAAAAGAAGGTTACGAATTAATGAAGGTACGACAAGGACATTATTCAGGACGAAATTCGAGTGTGGTGTGGGTAGAGTAGAAGTGCCTCGTGACGAAATAGGGAAATTGTTGCCATTGCCCAGGGTGATGTGAAGAGGAGAGGAAGGAAGGCGAGAGAGAAATATACCATCTGTAGTCGACATGTGGGATGTCGCACCTGTATCAAGGATCCAGACGCTCTGGTCGTGAGTCAGCGCACAGTGCAACGTGTGGGAGGAATTGAAGGGAGGAGCAGCAGCAGATTGCATGGACAGCGCCAGGATGTGTGGAGCCGGCCGAAGGATTCCTTGCTGGCGCCAGGCTGGCTGCTGCTGGTGCTGTGGAGCAGAGAACCAACACAGAATGCAGAGGAATTGGACGTCATCACAGCAGTTTGCATGCACTGCGCGAGAGAGAGAGTTGGCGTGCGCGTGCAGGGGAAGCAGAGGCGCTAAGAATAGGATGCATTTTTTTTTTGAGGGAGAATAGGATGCTAAGAGTCTAACAATAGAATGTGCACGATCACGACTGGAAGGGAGGGAGCATGCAGCATCCTAAGAATAGGAGGCGCACGAGTGGAAGGGAGGTAGCATGCAACGGGGAGCAGAGGAGCCGCGCGTGTGGAAGCGGATGAGATAGCACGCTGGCGTGGGATGCGTGGGCAATGGGACCGGGGGAGGAGACTCGGCCGCACGGACAGGAAGACCGTGCACGGCCGCACAGGCTCGTGTGGGACCGCGTGCGTAGGAGAGGGAGGTGCGAGTCGCACGGAGGGGTGAGGGGAGCGCGATATCGCGACCTGGCTGCATGGACAATAAGACCGTGCACGGCCACATAGGCTCGCGTGGGGCTGCGTGCGTAGGAGAGGGACGGACCGCGCAGAGCGGATCGCACGGAGGGGAGGAAGCAGGAGCAGATGGGAGATGCACGCGGATCGGTGGATCGCAGGGACTGCGTCGTGCGGAGAGGGCCACGCGTAAGGGGTCGCACATGGGGGAGAGCGGAAGCAGAGGGGGTGTGCGCGAACTGCGCGTCGCGCCGGAAAGAGGGGAGGGGAGAGAAACGCAACCTGAGGGCGGCGGCGTGGGGGAGAGGCGCTGGGTGGTGCGGGTGCCGCGCGAGGTGGGTGATCGCGCTTCCTGAATGCACGAGGGGAGCTATGGAAGAGGAAGAGGAAGAGGCCAGAGAGAAACCAGGACTGCAGATACCATGTAGAAAGATACAAAGGTTTGGAGAGAATCACCACACACCCATTATGGGGTGCCTTCATATATACATATATACATATATATATATATATATACACACACACACATATATATATATAGGACGAGGCTAAAATGCACATGGGTGCATTCTGTATAGCAAATGCACCTGACCGCGAGCGCGAGCCGCGAGACGCGCGGAGCACGGCGAGCGACGAGCGCGAGCCGTACCGGTGCGGAGTCCGACCCGGTTGACCCGCGCGCCTGTATAGGCCCCGTGCGCCGCCCCTCAGCCGCAAGCGCAGCCCCTCTCCTTGGCCAAGCGCATGGGCTTCCAGTCGTGCGTCTCCGGCGAGTCCCTGCCTTTGGTGTCCGCTCCCAACTCCGGGTAGGTCCCCCTCCCTCACCTCGCTAAGGCCCCTGCCGATCTGGAGTCGGGACATGATTCTGGGTGTCTGCTCAGACTCATTGCATTCCTGTTGGGTAGGCCAGTTACGACTGCTCTAGACGTCTAGTTGCAGCACTGTTTGTATACCCGTTGCAACTCATCCTTTCAACCGATTGTAACTTCCGTCGTACACAAATTGCAACTTTGGTGGTAGGCCAGTTGTATTCCGGTTGGGTAGGCCAATTGCAATTGCCCTGGACGGCTAGTTGCAGCTTCCTTTGTATACCAGTTCCAACTCAGCCCGTCAACTCGTGCATGCAAAATTAAATGGACACAACCAACCACATGATGCCACCTCACAGGTCAACCCACCCACCAGGAATCTTTTCTTGCGATTCGAAAAAATGTGATATCTCCTAAACCACAGATAAGTTTTTCAATCCGTTTGAACTAGGTTCTTCGAAAAAATGTGTTTAACAAAATGAGATCCATGAAGGCTATATTTGTTGAAAAAAATTTTAAAGTATGTAATTGCAACTAAGTTGTACAGTGAGTTGCAAGCACGTCTGCAACACAATTGCAACTTGGTTGTGGCCTATTTAGCACTGGTTGCAAGAAGTTATAACCTAATGTAACCCTTTTCCTTTAGTTGCAATTAGTTACTACTCAGTTGCAACCCAGTTAATTGCAACCAGATGTGCTTCCTACTCAACCAGTTACTACCCACTTGCAACCAGTTACTACTGATTGTAGCTAGTTACTACTCAGTTGCAACACGGTTGGTACTCTGGTTGCAACAAGGTATGATTGCAACTTGATATGATTATTGTGACTAGATGTAAACAATACACAGACTTGTTGCAACTCGGTAGTATACAGAGTTGCAATCGATAATACACAGATATGCAACTCACCCAAAAATAATAAAATATATCCATATTGGATCTAGTTCTGTTAAGCACATTTTTTTGAATAAGATGCAGCAAACGGTTTGTTAATCGGGTTTACGGTTTAGGAGAAAAATTATTTCAAAGAATCGAACTCACAAAATATTCCATGCATGCATGCATGCATACTGCTAGTTATCTTTGTTGCACGTGACTAACCATGAGTGTTGAGAAGTAGCAAATTAGCTATTGATTGTCTCGGGTGCATGCATACTGGTTGGTTAGGACTCGTGCGATAGGCCAGTTGCATTCTTGTTGGGTAGGTCAGTTGCGACTGCACTAGTCGGCTGGTTGTAGCACCGTTTATATACCAGTTGTAACTCATTCCTTCAACCGATTGCAACTTCCGTCGTACACAAATTGCAATCTTGATGGTAGGCCAGTTGCATTCCGATTAGGTAGGCCAATTGCAACTGCCCTAGACGGCTGGTTGCAGCTCCGTTTGTATACCAGTTCCAACTCAGCCCGTCAGCCGATTGCATCTTGAGTCGTACATAAATTGCAACTTTGGTGGTAGACCAGTTACGACTCGTGTGATAGGCCAGTTGCATTCCGTGCAACGAGTGCACAGACCCTCTCTAACCCTGCGGTCCACGCGCCAGCGCACACCCGCAGGAGACTCCCCACATTTTCCTGCCAATCCTATGCTCGTGCATGCAAAATTAAATGGACACAACCAACCACATGACGCCACCTCACATGTGAACCCACCCACCAGGAAGCATGCATGGATGAAATCTTTTCTTGATTCGATTCGAAAAAATGTGTTGGCGTGGAAGAGGGTAGAGGTGTGTGGTGCGTCTGATTAGTGGGTTAGTTGGGCCAGTTGCCCAGACAAAGCGCGCCGGTTGGCCTAGGTGCATTCTGTACACTGATTGCACCCGGGTGCAATATAGCAAAACAGTATATATATATATATATATATATATATATATATATATATATATATAAGGCCCAATACATTTAGTGCTCACACGAGCCACAGGTGGCATTTTTTTTTAATTCACACGGGTGGTATTGATTTAGGTTTCCCTGTTGCTCTCGTCATATATATCCCCACGGAGCTCAAATTTGAAGATGATATCTATATATATGTGTAAGACAAGACGATATCACTGCCACTAGAAGAAATAAAGCAATAGCTAGAGAAGCTCCTAATTAAGCTTGGACTAGGAGTTGGAGGCATCGGGAACTTAGTGGATGCTTTTATGGAGTGAAAGGAATCAATAGATGGAAGCTTCTGAGGGAAAGACCAAACGATTAGTTTCGCAAATTTGTTTGGAGCTGCCTAGCACCACACCTAGATGTAGCAGGAGACGATAAACACAGGAACTAATCGCTAATAGAGGACGACGACCTTCCAAAAACAGTCATACACAGCAGCTTCCATCAGTTAGGATAAAAAACATAGGTTTTTTCAACTCTTTGCTAACCAATTAGTACATGAATTTGTTAGAAAATTTTCTACAACTACTATTCTATTAACTTACTAGCTAGGAACTAAGGAAATGAAGCACACCAATTGTTTTGATCAGATTCAACTAGAACATGATTTGACCTCCATTTGATCTCTGTCACAATTGATGTCATCCATTTTGACACATCACGTGTTCTTTTATCTTATATATCAGCAAACACTTACCCTTGGAGACTGTCGCCCATGCTTGTTTCTCTCTTTGGAACAATGTTTTCTTGAGTTTGAGTATCCAAGAGGCAACATTTTTGTCCAATGGTCACTACACCACAACACCGCTTCACCGTCAGACATCTAACGCTAAAAATTATATTTGGCGATGAATGATCTGACGCTAAAGATAACTCTGAGGCCATCTGACGTTAAATCCTCATTTAGCGATTTAGTGTCTGTCGCTATAGGTATTCATATTTAGCATTGAACCATCTGTCGCTAAACATATGTATACCGTCCCTCTGTCTGTCGCTAAAAAATAAGTGGGCCCCACCTAGCTCGAGCGCGCCACTTACATTGAGCTCCCGCGCCCAGCTTACATCGACCTCGTGCGCATATTTTAGCCGGCCCTCGTGTACAGTGAAAACCCTAGCCCCGAATCCCAAATCCCAAATCTAGTGAAGTCATCCCGCCAGCCACCCTCTCCCTCTCTTCCCCCACGCACGCCGCCCTCCTCTCCTAAGGCTAGATCCACGCCGGGGCGACCTCCTTTCAACTCCCGCGGCCTGATCTACGCTAGGGCGGCCTCCCTTCAACTTCCTCAGTCGGATCCACGCAGTGGGGGCTGCCCTTCTCTCCCCCCGACTGGATCCACGGCGTGCCCTCCATTGCTGGCAACGGCGCCTCCATCTACTCGTGGCGGGCTGCGGGAGGATCCACGCAGTGGGGGCTGCCCTTCCTTTCCCCTCGGCCGGATCCGCGGCATGCCCTCCATTGCTGGCAGCGATGCCTACATCGACTCGTGGCGGGCTATGGGAAGTATTGGGGTTGTGTTCCATGGAGGAATCCCCACATCGCCAGCCCCGCCTACCTCCACCGTTCTCCGCCCCGTGTTCCCCTCCGTCCCTTCCCCGAGGCTCGGAATCCCCACCTCCAGCGGCCACGGCATCCACTCTGCAAGAAAGGTGAAGGCAGTGGCTATGTACTCACAGGATCCTTTGAGCGTTGCTGCAGGTTAGAGGAACATGCCGATCTCTGTTTTGTTCTTCAACTCACAGCTTTGGTCCTCTTGGATCTCTATTCTTTTCTGGAGTCCGTCAGTCACCATTTGGTCTACAGATCTGCAGGCCGGCAGCAGGGGTGCAGCAGTAGCTCAACTAGATCGACTTTTCCTCTGTGCTTGGCTCATGTGCAACAGCGGCAGCCCAGGTTATTTTCTAATACAAGTTTCGTTGGCTCAAGTCATGCTTTATCTTATTATTCAATCACTAGATTTTTAACTCCATTCTTGTCTTGATTTTTGATTTAGATAGCTTGGCAAATATGCTTGTGGGGTTGCAGTAACTTAAACAAGTATTTATTTGATTGCTCTCTTGAACCGCAGCTTGTTTAGTGGTCAAAGTTAGCACTTGGTTAATATTTTCATAGTTACTGAAAATTGTGTTGCCTCTATTTATGTGCTTTCACCCAATAAAATCATCATAGGTTGTACGACCCTTGAGGCATACTGACAGTGATAGCAGTTTGCTAGCATTGGCTTCAGTTTGCCTATGTTTTGTAGTTCCAGTTACCATTTGATTACCTGGGCTACCGGTAAGGATGAGGACCATGGCTGGGGGCTGTGGCCGGCGCAAAGGAAAGGAAACGGGTGAATTATTATTACAGACAGACTACAGAGTGATGAGTGAATAAAAAGTTGAGCTGATGATTGTTGCAGCTAGAGGAGTGAGTTTACATATATACGTTGATTTCTACTGTATTTCTTCTTGTTCCATACTGATGTACAAGACAAATTCATTTGGTGCTTGACTTTGATGGATGTGACGTACAAGACAAATTGGATGTTATATGTATTGAGCTGCATGTGATATGTGTTTGTGTATCTTCATGTGACATGTGGACACTATATAAGCATTGAATATCGTTTTGATATGTGCTAAAAATTGTATTTTTTTCTATATTAAATTGCTCTGTTGAACAGTCTGTCGCTGTAAATGTATGGAGTGTTGGATGATCTGACGGTGAATGTGTGGTAACAGATTATCTGTCGTTAAAGAGTGGCAACAGGCTATCTATCGCTGTAAATATTCACTGCAACAGACTATCTGTCACTAAAAGTACCATCTGACGCAAAAGATTTTTAGCGACAGGACTTACAGCGTCTGCGCAATTCTGTCGCTGTAACTTTTTAGCGTCAGTTCGTCTGTCATTGTAGCCATTTTTAGCGTCAGATCGTCCATCGCTAATGTTGGTGTTGTGGTGTAGTGGGTAGCAACGTGGGATTCTAGCTTAACGGATTGCATACAAATCCTCTGTTGTTATTAATTGTGCAGATGAAGCAAAATTTGACGAAGCTACTAACAATGAGTTAGATATGAATTAACTACTGTGCAAACTGATATCTGAACTAACCAATGACAATATAGTTGTCTTCTTTTTCTTTGTTGTTTTTTGGTTTAAATTTTGACCAAACAGGGGACTGTTGCTTGGAACACCAACAATGTTCAAGTTATTTCAGAACTTCTACGTTATAATCTTTTTTTTTTCTCGAACACGCAGGAGAGCGTATCACTATATTACGAAAGTTATAATCTATGTTGCAAAGAAGATATGCAAGACCACACAAAATTCTCTAGCCATAGTTCAATTGTTAGGAAGTAAGATTTCCTTGCTTTGAGGATAATCAAGGCAAAGGCATCCTCGAACGAAGATTTACTGCTAGCAACACTTGGCTGTTTGTTTAAGAAAATGAGATTGCTTTGTTTGTCCCAAATGCTCGGCTGGCTCATAAAAAACAATAATCTCCATAAAGAAATGTAACAACAATTGCAATTTTAAGTCTTCCATAACTTGAAAAAAGGGTGTCAAGTGTAACTTTCAAATTCAGAGTAGCCCAATAGTTTTGAGCAAAAGAGCACTGAACGAAAAGATGTTGCAGTGACTCTTCAGTTTGGCAAATGCAAAGAACACTATAGGATTGCAAAACCATATTGTTTCTTTTTAGAAGCTATAGTGCTTAACCACTCTTTTAGCAATAACCAGAAGAATACATTGTGTTTGTTTTGACATAAAGATTTCAAAGCCATCCAAAAGCATCATGGACAAAAGCTTCACCCATTACATATTTGTAAACTTTGATGGAAGATAAGAAAGATGTGCCCTAAATATAAGTCCAGAAATCAGCATCAACTGAAAACACAAATGTCCCTAAATAGAATCTTGAAGAAGTTGTAACTGTTCAAAAGCCTCTACTGATAGAGATAAATGAAATAGATGACGAAGAGGAGTAGTAAAAAAAGACGTGACAAAATTTAGGTTTTTGTTCGCTGTAAATGAGTAGAGCTTGGGGAAAGCCAAAGCAGGGACTTCACCAAACCATAAATCATTAAAAAACAAATAACTTCTGCCATTATGGAGTGAGACCGTGGCAAGACCCTTGACGTTGTCTAACTAATTTTAGAATATCCCTCCACCAGAAACATCCTTTTTTAATATGGCTGTCAAGCTGATCATTTGCATAATATTGCTCCCAAGCTAAATGCATCCATGGGACATCAGCTCAGCTAAAACGTGTGCAAATTGTTTTAGGAGAAGTGCTTCATTTCGCGTTCTTAGATTTAACACTCCAAGTCATCCTTGTGCTTTTGATTTGCAGACCATAGTCCATTTTGCTTTTGGTGGTTGTTTTGTACTAATATCTGAGCCTCTATGCTTCCTCTATCTCTGTTACTTTTTTTAGCAAAAGAAAGAACTAACATAGATTTGAAACTACAGAAGAGAAACAAATGAATTTCACTGCCACTGAAACTATTTCAGAGGCACCACTTTTTCTAGCAATAGTTGGAAAAAGAAGCAGCCTATATAAATGGTTCTAGAGACAGAGCGCCTCTAGGAATCAAATTCTAGAGACAGATGATGGTTCTAGATGTGGTTGGTGTTTTGACCGCCCCTGAAAATAAAGGCATTTCTAGAAAGAAATCAACTCTCAGGGCAGTTGGTAACGTGACCCGCCTCTAAAATAGGCACCACACAAAAAAATCATAATTTTTCAAATGATATCTTATGAAAAGAACTTTATATTAAAGTTACTGAGCTCAATGAGATTTAAAACTTCATAGTTAAAACTGTTTTCTTTAAAAATCATTTATGGGCCCAAATTATGTTTCACGTTCTCAATTTTTGAAGTTCATATTTTTGATTTTTTGAACGATCTTCGATGAAGACTTGGTAATTGTAACATCCCAAGTTTTTCTACAACAAAAAATACGAACTTTTTAAAATCTTTCCTGCAACGTGTGTTGCATGTAGTCCCATGAGTTTTTCTACAACGAGCGTGACCTGCGGGGCTGCGGAACCGTTGAAGTTGAAGCAAGGTGAGCATAGTAACACACACTAGTAGAGAACAGACCTTTGATCCTCGGCTAAAATGGGCTCTAGTCCCGGAATTTTTTGCGCCCGGGACTAGAGATACCTTTAGTCCCGGTTGGTGGCTCCAACCGGACTAAAGGTCCCCGCCCCAACGGCCACTCGCCCTGCATGAGAGGTGGCGGGGACCTTTAGTCCCGGTTGGAGCCACCAACCGAGACTAAATACTTTTTACTCCCGGTTGGTGGCTCCAACCGGGAGTAAAGGTCTCACTCCCGGGCCGTGGCTGCGCCCGGGTTGAAAAGTTACCTTTAGTCCCGGTTGGATCCACCAACCGGGACTAAATGTTCTCCTTTATAAATCGGCCGTCTCCTCCTTCCTCCCCGAGCCCGAGCTCAAGCACATTTTGAAGCTCACTGCAGTAGTGTTCTTGCTTCCTCCTTCCTCCATTGTTCCTCCATCCATTATTCGATTCCTCCATCGATTTCTTGATTCCTCCGTCGATTCTTCAGTTGTAAAGGTTACCAATCTCATACTCTCATTTTTCACCATTGTCTTATCTCATTTTGTTCACTATATATATATATGGTTCTTTATTTTGGTTTTTTTTCATTTGTAAGCAATTTGAGCTCAAAATCACTTCAAGCTTGCATATTTACATGAAATAAGGTTAAAGTAGCTAGTTGAACTTGCGGACCGTGTTCATCTCGGCGAAAGCACGTTCTCTGCCGAAAGCCAGTAACGGACGTCAAGGAGGAGCTTTGATTCTACGAGGGAGAGCGGCAATGGTCGTGGAAGACCGTGTTCCTTCCTCGTAGAATTGGAGCTCTTCCGTGGTCAAATACGGTGCCGTCCCGTGGAGAAATGCTCGCCGAGATGATCACGTAAGCAAGGTCAACTAGTACGGATGGTTATTTATTCACATGTCCCGATATCGTCAGCATAGTCTCATCCAATCACCGTATTCAAACGTAGTATATATATAAATATAAACTTAGAAAATAGTTAGAAAATTATAGAAAATCCATACTAGTTGAACTTGCGGACCGTGTTCATCTCGGCGAAACACGTTCTCTGCCGAAAGCGATAACGGACGTCAAGGAGGAGCTTTGATTCTCTGAGGGAGAGCGGCAGCGGTCGTGGAAGACCGTGTTCCCTTCCTCGTAGAATTGGAGCTCTTCCGTGGCTGGCACGGTGCCGTCCGGTGGAGAAATGCTCGCCGAGATGATCATGTAAGCAAGGTCAACTAGTATGGATGGTTATTATTCACACGTCCCGATATCGTCGTAGTAGTCTGTTATGTGTGTACATTCCCATTCTTCATTAATTTGCGAAAATATCATATGAATTACTTACCGCCGCCAAGAAAAAAGACGAGAACACAATGACCATTAAAAATATCATTGTTTAGAGATCTAGATAATTTTATAGTTTGTTAATTTTATTTGTTTATAAAAGAAGAAATTTATAGTGTATTAAAAATGAGTATAGAGAGTAGATGGCAACTGCTTCCGGGTCCTCGGCCTCTCATGGGTTTCCAAAGCGACTTAGGCCGGGCCTTCCTCTCATTCCATGCGGCAAGTGTCGTGATGAGATGAAGATTGTGATGGAGTACCGAGTGAAGAAGGAGGGTCCCAACAAGGATCGTATCTTCTACAAGTGTCCGGATCGCAATGTGAGTTATTTTATCGTATTTAATGATTATGGTTAGTTTATACCTATTTTCATGATGGTTGTGATTAAAGTTCTAATTTTTGTTTTAATTTCAGTGGGATGGCGTTGGACGATGTTCAGGCTTCTCTTGGGAGGAAGAGTATGTTGAACTCGTGCAAAAATATCTTGCACAACAAAAAGAGATCGGCGACTAATGAGGCGATCCAGCCCAAGAAGCCCAAAGATGTTGCACAATCGGGGATCTGTCTGCTTTTAGTTGAGATTGGTCATGAAATCCTTGTGCTCCTGAAATGTATTTTAGCTTT